ATACAGTATATATATATATATATATATATATATATATGTATGTGTGTGTGTGTGTGTGTGTGTGTGTGAGAGAGATAAGGGATAGTATAGTAGTATTTATATAGTAAATAAATTAGTAAATAAATGCTCTTCTGCAGTGTATTATCAATTAGAGATTTTTGCCATCATAAACGAACAGATAGATCAGCATGTGTATTTTTATTTATTTTTTTAAATCCGGCGGCTTTCAAGGTGCACAACTCTCATTACAGCTTCCATTTCCTCTTAAGCAGCAATTAAGACGAATTTCACACCTTTAAAAGGTTTCGCAGTGTGTCCAAGTGTGTGAGGTACTCCGCACTGACAGCTATTTGGGCACTTTTAGAACAGTCTGCAGCACAGACTTTATAATCATGAATTTAAGCCCTGCGCCGCACTCTCATGACGTCCTGCAATTACACCTCATAATGTGTCAGTTAACCTCTTCTGTGACCTCCACTGCTGTGGAGCAGAGAAATGCAGGTGCATTAAAACATCCCTTATCTCTCTCACACACACACACACACACATATATATATATATATATATATATATATATATATACTGTATATACAGTATATATATATATATATATATATATATATATGTATGTGTGTGTGTGTGTGAGAGAGATAAGGGATAAGATAGTATAGTAGTATTTATATAGTAAATAAATTAGTAAATAAATGCTCTTCTGCAGTGTATTATCAATTAGAGATTTTTGCCATCATAAACGAACAGATAGATCAGCATGTGTATTTTTATTTATTTTTTTAAATCCGGCGGCTTTCAAGGTACACAACTCTCATTACAGCTTCCATTTCCTCTTAAGCAGCAATTAAGACGAATTTCACACCTTTAAAAGGTTTCGCAGTGTGTCCAAGTGTGTGAGGTACTCCGCACTGACAGCTATTTGGGCACTTTTAGAACAGTCTGCAGCACAGACTTTATAATCATGAATTTAAGCCCTGCGCCGCACTCTCATGACGTCCTGCAATTACACCTCATAATGTGTCAGTTAACCTCTTCTGTGACCTCCACTGCTGTGGAGCAGAGAAATGCAGGTGCATTAAAATATCTGCGGCTCATTTAGCAGCCATTAATGATCAACGGACCACTGACCCAGTATTCATGTATTTTAATATTTATATGTGTGCAGCTGCAGAAACCAATTGTGTCTTGTTTTTATCGGATTTGTGTCAAAAGGTCTCGGCAAAAATGTAGTTTATGTATAAGCACAAAACAGTACGATCATTATTTTGTGTCTTTGTGTTGTCCACAGGCAAGAGTGTAAGAAACTGCGTGAGGAGCTGCGTGAAGAGCATGAGGAGAATAAAAGGTCAGCGCTCACGCAGCTGGCACAGAATAAAGATCAGGAGATGTGCTCTGCCAGAGAGAGCTGGCAGAGGAAGGTGGAGGACCTTCTAGAGCAGGTCAGAAACACATTCATGCAAGACTTTATAATCATGAATTTAAGCCCTGCGCCGCACTCTCATGACGTCCTGCAATTACACCTCATAATGTGTCAGTTAACCTCTTCTGTGACCTCCACTGCTGTGGAGCAGAGAAATGCAGGTGCATTAAAATATCTGCGGCTCATTTAGCAGCCATTAATGATCAACGGACCACTGACCCAGTATTCATGTATTTTAATATTTAAATGTGTGCAACTGCAGAAACCAATTGTGTCTTGTTTTTATCGGATTTGTGTCAAAAGGTCTCGGCAAAAATGTAGTTTATGTATAAGCACAAAACAGTACGATCATTATTTTGTGTCTTTGTGTGTGTGTCCACAGGCAAGAGTGTAAGAAACTGCGTGAGGAGCTGCGTGAAGAGCATGAGGAGAATAAAAGGTCAGCGCTCACGCAGCTGGCACAGAATAAAGATCAGGAGATGTGCTCTGCCAGAGAGAGCTGGCAGAGGAAGGTGGAGGACCTTCTAGAGCAGGTCAGAAACACATTCATGCAACTACTGTACTAACACTGCAAACAGTTCTTATGTTGAGACCATCCTGTGGGGGTCTGATTGGTGCTGTGAAATCGGTTAATTAGTTGAGAGCAATTCATTTTATTCATGTGAATAATTAAATACAGCTCTACAAAAAGCACAAAGCAAAAATGTCAAAATTAGATAAAATTGGATTTGTATTTTAATGTGTGCTTAATAATTGCATTTTCAGTTTTAGTACTTTTTTATTGTCTATGTTTTTTTTTAATTGATTGAATCCAGAGGCAACACTTTGCTTTCAATATGATTTTATCAATATACTGTATATCATCTTAATTTATCATCACAATTCAGTTATGTCATCGTTCATTCATTTTATATATACATCCACATTTAGGCATTTTCTTGTTGATTTTTCTCAACTTTTTATGAATATTGCAAATTATTATTGAATGGCACAATTGGGCCCCCAGAATCACAGTTTGCATACTTCTTCAAAGTACAGAAAATAAATACACTACTATTCAAAAGTTTTGGGGCTAGTATATATATTTTAAAAAATAATAATAATAAATTCATGCTTTATTCAGCAAATACATTATATTTATCAAAAGTGACAGTATTTGTCACTTTTTTAAAGTGACTTTTATAATGTTACAAAACATTTCCTTTTGCACAAAAATATTAAGGAGCACAATTTTTTTCAACACTGATAATAATACAAATCAGCATATTAGAACGATTTCTAAATGATTACTAAAGGAGGTTTCTAAATGAGCTGCTGAAAATTCTGCTTAATTATTATATGTAGTTATAAATGACAAAATTACATTTTAAAATATATCAAAGTATAAACAAGTTGTTTTAAATTTTGTAATATTATTTCAATCAAATGCAGCCTTGGTGAGTGTAAGAGACATCAAAAACAATACAAAATCTTACCGAGCCCAAACTTTTGAACGGTAGTGTACTTTTAAGCAAGGGTAACAAGCAAACCTCCAATTGGTTGAGCATCCTGCCCTGACCAACACAGCAACACTGACCGATTATTTAAATCCGTGTCGGTGCTATGTGTTTATGTGACCAATGGCAGGTGGGAGGATTGTTCAGAAAACCTCACATTATTTTTTGCATTTCTGTTTGTTGAAGCCTGTGGCAGAGAAATTGCACAGTTCATCTTAACAGTAGCAAAAGACTACATGTAAACCCACAGTAAGCCAGACAAACAAGTCAATATAGGGAATACATGATTTAATAAACTGCAAACCCCAAAGACACTCTTTTAACGGATAAAAGCATCAGTCAAATACAACAGTAGTTGAAAATCCACCGCTCATCCTCACTTTAATATTACCAGATATTGCAGATGTATCCTTGGGTTCCCCTCTGTGCATTTTTCATATGCTGAACCCTCATGTCTGCTGACTTTGTTACTATTGCATTTATACTGTACAGACAGCAACCACACACAGTTTTCTGTAATCAAATCAGGCCCAAAAACAATACAAAATCATATTCAGCTTTTCAACTATTTACAGCAGTGCATGATTTGATTTATTCTAAAAAAAAAAGTATGACCCTGAAACCAAAAGTTGTTTTACCAAACTCATTTAGAACTGCTTTTTCATTCATGAAGGTCTCAGTTATTTCAGATGGAAGTAGAGGATTGGGTTTTGTACATGATATGGCCATGGTGAATGAATTGTGCAAGTTATTTTCAAAAATGATCAGTGCATTAATTGAACATCCACTTTTTTGAAAAGCCAATGGAGTTAGTATACCAAACACGTACTTCTGACTATTGTCATTGGACTTTCAAAGGGTATGCAGTAAACCCAATCTTGCATATAATATTGGATGAATAATATGCAATTTGGGATTTATCCTAGTCAGTAATCATTTCTACGACTAGTACAATGTGTACCACCGCAATTTGTATTGCTGATATTACATTATTTAATCTATCTCATATGATTTCAGGTTTGTGGTGGCTATAATCAAAGACACATTGTAACTTACAATTCAGTTGATTTGCTTTTAAACTGCGGGTCATGTGATACACTCACCAATCAGAAATTCTCTAGATGCCTATAATGATCATTTTCAGCTTTAATCACAAGATTATGACAAAAGCCAGCAGTTCAGCCTTGCTTCAGTATAGTCATTAGCTCCATTCAGTCACCTCCTGGTGTCTGGACTTTGTTTTATAGCTAATTATTTTGCCATGGTCTACTTGTCTTTGTCTAGAGTAGTGAAAAAGAATATTACAGATGGAAAAAAGAAAACAGACTGAAAAATGACACAGTGGTGGAAGCATTTCAGATTCTCTGTTTGAGACCGTATGCAAGTTCCTATTCAAAATCCACTTAAAACCCCAAGGGACCTCAGCAAGCAATGCTAACGTTTTTTTCTCATGACAGAGCATAACGTACTTGGTTACTAACGTAACCTCGGTTCCCTGAGATACGGGAACAAGTACTGCGTCTTGCTAGACACATATGGGAAAAAGCCTTTTTTCTCCTGAACTGAAGCCTTTTTTCTTTCACGCAGTGAAACTGCATGGCCATTGGTTCGTGCAGTGTATTAAAAACGAACCAATGGCTAGGCAGCGGAGCTGCACGAGCCTATGGCGACGAAGCCCGCCAAAGCCGGCAAGAATGGGCAGGGCATCTGGTTATATAAGTGGGTGTTCACCCCAGGATTCTCAGGTTACTTCGACTGAAGCGACAACTGAGTTGTGCAGCTACATAGCACGGCTAGCAAGGCAGTACTCGTTCCCGTATCTCAGGGAACCGAGGTTACATTAGTAACCGAATACATTCCCTTTCAGTACTACACTCGTACTGCGTCTTGCTAGACGCATATGGGAACACAGTACAGTCACGCCATGCTAATATATTGGAACGACTGAAAGTATCAAACTTCCATAAGCAACCAATGCCCATAGAGAAGTTAACAACAACCCAAGGCTAAGACGGGCTGAGCTTCCTGAGGTCACACTCTGCCTGGTTAATCATTCCAGAGTACTCCTGTAACTTCGACAGCCAGGGGTCGAGAGCTAACAGGTGAACTAATGCCAGAGAGATTGAGCGTGATACGACCAAGGGCTCTCTGCCAGATCGGTTTACGCAGCGCATGTCACTTCAAGCGGAAAGGACCCTGGCCAGCAAGGCCGGGACTTCCAGGTTAAAAAACCTTGTGAATGGGGACGGTGAGGCCCAGCCGGCTGCCTCACAAATATCCGCTATGGACACACCACTGGACCATGCCCAAGACGAGGCGATGCCTCTAGTCGAGTGGGCCCGTACTCCAATGGGGCATTGAAGGCCCAAAGAAGAGTACACTAGAGAGATGGAGTCTACTATCCATCTAGAGAGTCTTTACTTCGTTACCGGAAACCCTTTGGTGCAGTTACCGAAGCTGACAAAGAGTTGTTCTGACCACCTACCGGAAACCCTTTGGTGCAGTTACCGAAGCTGACAAAGAGTTGTTCTGACCACCTATATCGCTCTGGGAGGCTCGAAGGCTCCCGTCGAGCAGCCAGAGGTGCAGGGCCCATAGGTCGGGGCGAGGATGCCATATTGTCCCGTTCGCTTGAGAGAGGAGATCCTGTCTCAGCGGAACAGGCCAAGAGGCCAGTATCAACAGCTGAGCTGAGCTGGTTCATCCAAAGGAGGGCCACCAGGAGAACCTTGTGTTTTTGTTCCCTTAATCGCCTGATTACCTGTGGGATCAGAGCGATCGGGGGGAAAAGCATAAAGAAGGAGGTTGGGCCAATCGTGAGCCAACACGTCCCTGGTCTTTGAGAAATAAATTGGGCAGTGAGAGTTGTCTTCTGAGGCGAAGTGGTCCACCTCGGCCTCACCGAAGATCTCCCAGAAGATCTCTCCAGAACCGTCTGCAGATGGAGTGTCCACTCTCCTGAGGGGACATTGCTCCTTGATAGCATTGTCCGCTCCTTGGTTCAATTTGCTTGGTTTATGCGCTGCTCTCAGCGAGCGTAGGTTGAGTTGAGCCCATTCCAGGAAGCGCTGTACCAGAGTGAAGAGACGCTTCGAGGAGAGGCCTCCCTGGCGATTTATGTAGTCACCACAGACATGTTGTCCAATCAAATTAGCACATGGTGTCCTTTTAGGACTGGCAGGATGAACTGACAGGCTCGACATACTGCTAGCATTTCCAGACAGTTGATGTAGAAGCTTTTTTCCGCCTTCGACCAATGGCCGAAAGGCGGTATGCCCTCGCATAGCGCCCCCCAACCTGAGTTGGAGGTGTCTGTCGTGACAACTGTCCTTCTGCAAACCATCCCCGTGGCGACGCCCTGTTCCATCCAGCGGGAGTTCTTCTAGGGGGCCAGGGCTGTTACACAGGCCTGACTCACCCTGATCTGCAGGTGTCCGTGATGCCATGCATGGGATGGAAACCGTGCCTGGAATCAGAGGTGCAGGGCCCATAGGTCAGGCCGAGGATGCCATATTGTCCCGTT